ATACAGTTGTTAGGCCTCCATAAAATGTGCATTCTGAAAGACTTGTCTAAATCACACAGGAAAACTACAGGTGCTGTATAAAGCACACTATATGACCAAAAGTATGTAGACCAATGTTCATCGAACTTATCATTCCAAAATCATGGGCAAAAATATGTAGTTCCTTTAACAGCCTCCACTCTTCTGGGAAGGCTTTCCACTAGATGCTGGACATTGCTGCGGGGACTTGCTTCCATTCAGCCACAAGAGCATTAGTGAGGTCGGGCACTAATGTTGGGCAATTAGGCCTGGTTCGCAGTCGGAGTTCCAATTCATCCCAGAGGTGTTCGATGGGGTTGAGGTCAGGGCTCTGTGCAGGCCAGTCAAGTTCTTCCACACCGATCTCAACAAACCATTTCTGTATGGACCTCGCTTTGTGCACAGGGGCATTGTCACCAAGTTGGAAGCACAGAATCGTCTAGAATGTCATTGTATGCTGTAGTGTTAAAATTTCCCTTTGGAACTAAGGGGCCTAGCCCGAACCATGAAAAACAGCCCCAGACCATTATTCCTCCTCCACCAAATTTTACAGTTGGCACTATGCAGTCGGGCAGGTAGTGTTCTCCTGGCATCCGCCAAACCCAGATTCGTCCATCGGACTGCCAGATGGTGAAGCGTGATTCATCACTCCAGAGAACGCATTTCCATTGCTCCAGAGTCCAATGGCAGCAAGCTTTACACCACTCCAGCCGACGCTTGGCATTGCGCATCTTAGGCAGCTCTAGCAGGGCAGAAATTTGATGAACTGACTTGTTGGAAAGGTGGCATCCTATGATGGTGCCATGTTGAAAGACACTGAGCTCTTCAGTAATTCTACAGCCAATGTTTGTCTATGGATTTCATACACCTGTCAGCAACGGTGTGGCTGAAATCGCCGAATCCACTAATTTGAAGGGGTGTCCACATACCTTTGTATATATAGTGTATATCTATAACAGCGCTTTAATTAGAAGAGATACAGTGGGGAGAACAAGTATTTGATACACTGCCGATTTTGCAGGTTTTCCTACTTACAAAGCATGTAGAGGTCTGTAATTTTTATCATAGGTACACTTCAACTGTGAGAGAGGGAATCTAAAACAAAAGTCCAGAAAATCACATTGTATGATTTTTAAGTAATTAATTTGCATTTTATTGCATGACATAAGTATTTGATACATCAGAAAAGCAGAACTTAATATTTGGTACAGAAACCTTTGTTTGCAATTACAGAGATCATACGTTTCCTGTAGGTCTTGACCAGGTTTGCACACACTGCAGCAGGGATTTTGGCCCACTCCTCCATACAGACCTTCTCCAGATCCTTCAGGTTTCGGGGCTGTCGCTGGGCAATACGGACTTTCAGCTCCCTCCAAAGATTTTCTATTGGGTTCAGGTCTGGAGACTGGCTAGGCCACTCCAGGACCTTGCGAAGCTTCTTACGGAGCCACTCCTTAGTTGCCCTGGCTGTGTGTTTCGGGTCATTGTCATGCTGGAAGACCCAGCCACGACCCATCTTCAATGCTCTTACTGAGGGAAGGAGGTTGTTGGCCAAGATCTCGCGATACATGGCCCCATCCATTATCCCCTCAATACGGTGCAGTCGTCCTGTCCCCTTTGCAGAAAAGCATCCCCAAAGAATGATGTTTCCACCTCCATGCTTCACGGTTGGGATGGTGTTCTTGGGGTTGTACTCATCCTTCTTCTTCCTCCAAACACGGCGAGTGGAGTTTAGACCAAAAAGCTATATTTTTGTCTCATCAGACCACATGACCTTCTCCCATTCCTCCTCTGGATCATCCAGATGGTCATTGACAAACTTCAGACGGGCCTGGACATGCGCTGACTTGAGCAGGGGGACCTTGCGTGCGCTGCAGGATTTTAATCCATGACGGCGTAGTGTGTTACTAATGGTTTTCTTTGAGACTGTGGTCCCAGCTCTCTTCAGGTCATTGACCAGGTCCTGCCGTGTAGTTCTGGGCTGATCCCTCACCTTCCTCATGATCATTGATGCCCCACGAGGTGAGATCTTGCATGGAGCCTCAGACCGAGGGTGATTGACCGTCATCTTGAACTTCTTCCATTTTCTAATAATTGTGCCAACAGTTGTTGCCTTCTCACCAAGCTGCTTGCCTAATGTTCTGTAGCCCATCCCAGCCTTGTGCAGGTCTACAATTTTATCCCCGATGTCCTTACACAGCTCTCTGGTCTTGGCCATTGTGGAGAGGTTGGAGTCTGTTTGATTGAGTGTGTGGGCAGGTGTCTTTTATACAGGTAACGAGTTCAAACAGGTGCAGTTAATACAGGTAATGAGTGGAGAACAGGAGGGCTTCTTAAAGAAAAACTAACAGGTCTGTGAGAGCCGGAATTCTTACTGGTTGGTAGGTGATCAAATACTTATGTCATGCAATAAAATGCAAATTAATTACTTAAAAATCATACAATGTGATTTTCTGGATTTTTGTTTTAGATTCCGTCTCTCACAGTTGAAGTGTACCTATGATAAAAATTACAGACCTCTACATGCTTTGTAAGTAGGAAAACCTGCAAAATCGGCAGTGTATCAAATACTTGTTCTCCCCACTGTATATACTTTAAAAACAATATATACAGTATATATTTTTTTTTCTACAATGTATAGCAAAAATAGGACTTTGGGTTCAGAAGCACATATATGGTATCTTGCAATGTCAACAGAGTGACCAAGGCACACCCCTACATGTTGTAACTGTAACTAGTGTAATAAATAATAATAATAATAATAATAATAATAATAATAATAATAATAATAATAATAATAATAATAATAATAATAATAATAATAATTGTGTAACGGAGCTCGGATTAAAAAGGCAGGTCTAATGTTAAACCTTGATCTGGCTGGCTCTCTACAGTCTTGTCACGGATTCAGCCGAGGCTGCTCCTCCTCCTTGCTCGGGCAGGCTTCGGCGTTCGTCGTCCCCGGAGTACTAGCTGCTACCGATCTATGTTTCGGTGGTCGTCTTGTTTGGTCTTTATTGTTTAGTCCTGTTTCCCATTATGTTACATTGTATTCCCTTTATAACCCCCTGTCTCTCATTGGTTATTGTGTGTGATTGTTTTCCGTAAGGTCGGCATTGCTGTTTGTATGCGAGTATTGTTTCCTCCCTATTAGGAGGTTTTGTTTTGTATGTTCCTTTACTGTGTAGTAAAGTACGTCTGCCAGTAGCTCGGTGTCCTGCGCTTGACTTCGCTCACCGCATACACGTCACCTTGACAAGTCTACACAGTAAGCCAGTGTTGTAGGCATTAGTCCTTCACTGAGAATTCGTTTTTAAGAGGTTTAGCTTCCCCTTTTAGAAACATGAATAGATCTTGCCATGCAAGGGGCACACTACGTGTAAGATGCACCTTGCAAAAGAGAAACAAGGTTTACATTCGGTATTTACTGTTATTGCTACAAAGTATCAAATTGCTATATATTAATGTTTAGCCTATATAGGCCTACTAAAATGTAAATCACATTTACAGTACTTGCTATAATTGTGGGTCTACTCTAATGATGGTAAAATAATGAAGTTAAATACAACCAATACTTTAGTTTGAGTTGTTATAGATTGAGAAGGTCAGCATGCAACAGGTTCTGGGTGGCGAGAAGGCATGGTGGACAGTCGTGACAGATTGTACTCTGCAGCGCATGATCCGCACATAAATCAAAAGCCCCAAAAGCTATATTCAAATTCACTAACCTGCCATGGAAGAAAACGTCGCCTCTTCACCGCCAATGACTGCCTCTTTGCTAAATTCCCGCTCTCCCTAATTTGATGCTCTTCCCATGAGGACAGCACACCCCGGCCATGCTGTAGTGGTGCACTAATGACTATTAATACGTGACGTCACCGACTGAGGTCTAAACTATGCAAGAATGTGTACCTACACTGTAATTACACTGTAGCCTACCTACCTATGTAATTCATATATGTTTTATATGGTACCCACATAAGTATAATATTGAGTCTATTGGATAACTCAAAAATAGTCTGTTCAATGATTGGTTGTTTTATTGATGGCAAATCTCTCATCCTAACTTGGTGACTGAGATAAAACTTACTCTTTTGGTTAGATTCTATTATCTTGGTAAAACTCCCTTACAATCTTATTCCTAACTGATTATAATGCAAGGTTCTGCAACATTCTTGTTCATTGATTGGAAAAGATTAAGAACATAGAATTTATTACATGATTAATTGTCAATCCATCTGCAGTGGGACTAATCAACTTTCACAACGTACCATCATTGTCAGTAGGCTATAGGAAAATAAAAAAAGTATCATAAAATTCCTTTTACATTCCAATAGTACAGAATAACATGTAACAGTTATTTATACTGTTAAGTACCATTACATATTGTACACAACAGGATTGGGAAATGTAGGCCTACACATGCTATCCATTGAGCCACCAAAGCAGTACCATCAAACCTAAAAATGCAGAATACTGTACAACATGATTCTTTCCAGAATCATAATTACTAGAGTTCATGGCTCAGAGATACAGGACATTCCATTTCAGAACTGAAATATTTACTGTGCACATTTATTACTACTGTACATTTCCAGGAGGAACATTGTGAAATCAGGCAGCAACATAATAAGTGATTCCTATGGAATAAAGACTGTCCCTGTAAGTGCAACTCTCCGCTTCGGGCAGTGTCCAGAGGGATAGGGTCTGCGTTTAAGGCACATATCTGATGCACCCTAGAAATGCTGCCTTGTCACTGAATGGTCTACTGCAGGTCAATGTCAAATGTCTAATTAATGGTCATGTGGTCATTTAGTCCGGCGATATTCAGTCAGTGCCTCATTGGTGCCTGGTTGATAATGGCATAGGCTTGGTAACAATTCAGGTGGTCCTCTTTCCTTTTGGATATAGTTTCCAGTTGGTTGATGTTCAGTTTATCCATGACCCTGTGGTCTATGTCCAGTCACGTCCTGGTTGTGACCTCACACGGATATGACCCGTATGGGGCGCTCCTGGACATAGAGGGGGTGTCGACACACCCTGTAGGGCTCCTCCAGAAGTGGAGTGCTCACTGCTGATACACTGCCCTCTTGTTCTCCATACTGCCTGACCAGGCCTGAGCCTGGGGGTACCCCTGGGTTCTGGACCAGGACCGCGGTCCGAGATGGACCTGGATACTGGGGTGGGATGGGGTTTTGAAGTAGGCCTGGATTGTGTGGCAGACCTGGGTTGTGGTAGAGGCCTGAGTTGTGTGGGAGGATGGGCTGGTTGTAGCCTCTGCAGGGAAGAGGAGCTGAGTTGAGGGCTGGGCCAATGGTGGAGGCTGGGACTGGACCAGTCAGAGCATAGGGGTACTGATGATACCTGTAGAGAGGACAGAGGCAGCGACATTGAGCTTTGCAAGGAAGATACGCATGAAAAGGCACGCACTCACGCACACACACATGCACACACATGCACACACACACAGTCCTCACCAGCTGGGTCTCTTATTGTCACACATTGAAGGGTCATGGTTGACCCATGGTGGAAGTGCCTTCTCCTGGGCGTTGTTATTGTTGTTCCTGCCATTGTGGCCATAGCGAGAGGCCCTGTTCTCCTCCTGTTCCACTTCCTCCAGCTGGTGCCACAGACGCGTCTCCCTGGCAACGCAGAAAGGTTTTTACAGATGTAGGATCTTAATTTGATCACTCTTTTGTTGCTGAGAATTTTCCTGAACAGCAGGAAATGCAAACTTGTAGTGTATTTGAGGTTTAAAAAGGCTTCTAAAGTTTGTAATTTCCACTTTAAAATTTCAGACCTGACTTGCCCTAATGAAACATTTAGCAAACTGGCTCAAATTAAGATCGTACATCTGTATAGTCCCGTGTAGCTCACTTGGTAGAGCATGGCGCTTGCAACACCAGGGTTGTGGGTTCGGTTCCCATGGGGGACAAGTATGAAAATGTATGCACTCACTACTGTAAGTCTGAAAATGTATGCACTCACTACTGTAAGTCGCTCTGGATAAGAGCATCTGCTAAATGTAAATGGTGTTCTGCGTCAATAGGGACTCAATATCGTTATTAATCCCCTTGACCACATAGTATCATTTACGGCTCTCCATCTTTTTTTCTTTGTGTGTGTTTTACCCCCTTTTTCTAACACCTCTCCTGTCTTCTCTTTTCCTCTCAATCCCCTCTCTTCCATTCATCTCTCCTTCTCACATGTCCTGTCTCATCTTTTGGTCTCCTCTCCTCCTTCTCCCCTTTCACTAGTCATGGCTCCTCCTCACCTACTATCTCCTCTCACCTATCCTGTCTCCTCCATCTCTCCTTCTCACCTCGCCTTCCATCTTACTTCCATCTCTCCCTCTCATCTCGCCATCTCTCCCTCTCACCTCTCCATCTCTCCCTCTCACCTCTCCATCTCTCCCTCTCACCTCTCCATCTCTCCCTCTCACCTCTCCATCTCTCCCTCTCACCTCTCCATCTCTCCCTCTCACCTCTCCATCTCTCCCTCTCACCTCTCCATCTCTCATCTCACCTCTCATCTCTCCTCTCACTCTCCACCTCTCCATCTCTCCCTCTCACCTCGTCCATCTCTCCCTCTCACCTCTCACCTCTCCCATCATCTCCCTCTCACCTCTCCTCCTCGCCCATCTCTCCCTCTCACCTCTCCCTCTCCATCTCTTCCCTCTCACCTCTCCATCTCTCCCCTCTCACTCCCTCCTTCTCCCTTCCACCTCGCCATCTCTCCCTCTCACCTCGCCATCTCTCCCTCTCACCCTCTGCCAGCCCTCTCTCCTCTCACCTCGCCATCTCTCCCCCTCGCCCTCTCCATCTCTCCCTCTCACCTCTCCATCTCTCCCTCTCATCACCTCCCTCTCATCTCTCCCTCTCACCTGCCATCTCTCCCTCTCACCTCTCCATTTCTCTCCCTCCCCCTCAACCTCTCCCCTCCTCTCCCTCCTCCACCTCTCCATCTCTCCCTCTCACCTCTCCATCTCTCCCTCTCACCTCTCCATTTTCTCTCCCTCACCTCCCATCTCTCCTCTCTACCTCTCCATCTCTCCCTCTCACCTCTCCTCTCCTCCCCTCTCACCTCTCATCTCCCTCTCTCACCTCTCCATCTCCCCCTCTCACCTCTCCATCTCTCCCTCTCACCTCTCCATCTCTCCCTCTCACCTCTCCATCTCTCCCTCTCACCTCTCCCCCTCTCCTCTCTTTCCCTCTCCCTCTCCCTCTCCCTCTCTCACCTCGCCATCTCTCCCTCTCACCTCTCCATCTCTCCCTCTCACCTCTCCATCTCTCCCTCTCACCTCTCCATCTTCTTCCCTCTCACCCCTCTCCATCTCTCCTCTCTCACCCCCTCCATCTCTCCCTCTCCCCCTCTCCATTCTCTCCCCCTCTCACCTCTCCATCTCTCCCTCTCACCTCTCCATCTCTCCTCTCCCTCTCCATCTCTCCTCCTCCACCTCTCCTCTCCCCCTCCCTCTCACCTCTCCTCTCTCCCCTCTCCTCACCTCTCCATCTCTCCTCTCCTCCTCCATCTCTCCATCTCTCCCTCTCACCTCTCCTCCCCTCCCTCTCACCTCTCCATCTCTCCCTCTCACCTCTCCATCTCTCCCTCTCACCTCTCCATCTCTCCCTCTCACCTCTCCATCTCTCCCTCTCACCTCTCCATCTCTCTCTCCCTCTCCCTCCCCTCTCTCCCCTCTCACCTCTCCATCTCTCCCTCCTCACCTCTCCATTCTCCTCCTCTCACCTCCCCTCCATCTCTCCCTCTCACCTCTCCATCTCTTCTCCCTCTCACCTCTCCATCTCTCCCTCTCTCACCTCTCCATTCCCCTCTCACCTCTCCATCCTCCCTCACCTCTCCACCTCTCCATCTCTCCCCTCACCTCTCCATTTTCCCCTCACCTCTCTCCCCTCCCTCCATCTCTCCCTCTCACTCTCCTCTCCATCTCTCCCTCTCCTCTCCATCCTCCCTCTCACCTCTCCATCTCTCCCTCTCACCTCTCCATCTCTCCCTCTCACCCTCTCCTCTCTCCTCTCCACCTCTCCATCTCTCCCTCTCACCCTCTCCTCTCTCCCTCTCACCCTCTCCACTCTCTCCCTCTCACCTCTCCATCTCTCCCTCCCCCTCCCTCTCCATCTCCTCCCTCTCACCTCTCCATCTCTCCCTCTCACCTCTCCTCTTCCTCTCTCACCTCTCCATCTCTCCCTCTCACCTCTCCATCTCTCCCCTCTCAACCTCGCCATCTCTCCTCTCACCTCTCCATCTCTCCCTCTCACCTCTCCATCTCTCCCTCTCACCTCCCATCTCTCCCTCTCCACCTCCCCATCTCCTCCACTCACCTCTCCTCTCTCCCTCTCCCTCCTCACCTCTCCCTCTCCCTCTCCATCTCTCCTCTCACCTCTCCCCTCTCACCTCTCCATCCTCCTCTCTCCATCCCTTCCCCTCTCACCTCTCCATCTCTCCCTCTCACCTCTCCCTCTCCCCTACCCTCCCTCTCCTCCCTCTCACCTCTCCCTCTCCCTCACCTCTCCCTCTCTCCCTCTCACCCCTCTCCACTCTCCCCTCCACCTCTCCCTCTCCCTCTCCACTCACCTCTCCATCTCTCCCTCTCACCTCTCCATCTCTCCCTCTCACCTCTCCATCTCCTCCCTCTCACTCTCGCATCTCTCCTCCTCTCCACTCCCCCTCTTCCCTCTCACCTCTCCATCTCCTTTTCCCTCTCACCTCTCCATCTCTCCCTCTCACCTCCCCTTCTCCTCTCTCCCTCTCCACCCCTTCTCTCCCTCTCACCTTCTCCATCTCTCCCTCTCACCTCTCCATCTCTCCTCTCACCGCTCACCTCTCCATCTCTCCCTCTCACGCTCCCTCCTCCCTCCACTCTCCATCTCTCCTCTCTCCCTCTCATCCCTCGCCATCTCTCCCTCTCACCTCTCCATCTCTCCTCTCCACCTCTCACCTCTCCCTCTCCCCTCTCCTCTCCATCTCTCCCTCCACCTCTCCATCTCTCCCTCTCCACCTCTCCATCTCTCCCTCTCACCCTCACCTCTCCATCTCTCCCTTCTCACCTCTCCATCTCTCCCTCCTCACCTCTCTCTCTCTCCCTCTCTCACCTCTCCATCTCTCTCCCTCTCACCTCTCCTTCTCCCCCCTCTCCTCTCCCTCTCCACTCTCTCCATCTCTCCTCTCCGCTCCTCCTTCCATCTCTTCCTCTCTCTCTCCTCTGCTCTCTCTTCTCCCATCTCTTCTCCTCTCCCCCCTCTCACCTATCTCTCCCTCTCATCCCCTCACCTCTCCTCTCTTCTCTCTCCTCTCTTTCTGTGCCCTACCCTTACTCTCACCTCCTTAGCTTTTCTCTCCTCCTCCGTGACACAGTCGAGCAAACAGCAGGTGATGAAGGCAATGGACATGAGGAGGATTATGGCACAGCTGATGATGGATGCCACCACTGCCACACGGAACCCAAAGTCTTCCGATGGAGACACCGCTGGGAGAAAATATAAAACTATCAATTAATTGATGAGATCTGTCTACAGACAACAAACAAGATATATAAAAACAAATCTCTCCAGAATGTGATGGAAATATAATATATTTGAATGCCTTTTTAAGTGTATTGCATCCATTTATAATAGACATCATTAAGTACCTCGGTATCATGGTACCTTAAATATGCCATTGACATCTACATGACATTGCCCATGGTCAGAGAGCACATAAAACTATCTCCAATATATTCCTCTATATTCCTCTTTTTCAGAATAATGAAGAGGCTGACAGGCAGGCAGACACAGCTCTGGGGCAGTTTGCAATCCATGCACTTTTTACACTCAATGCATTCTGAAGCTTTAATATACTCCTACACACGCATGCATGCACGCACGCACACACACACACTTTCCTAAGAGGACAACTTTCATTTTCACAATAAAGCCGAGTCTGACTCATCCATAATGTATGACTGAAGTGACGGCTGTCTTCACATGCTCTCAGCCATTGATTGGCCAGCAGAGCTGACTCCCTAGAGTCAGATGGAGAAGGGTGAGAGAGTGACAAACCTAACAGTCTCTCATTTGGACTTCTGTTCCTCATAGAATACAAATATGCTTTACATAAGCGGCTTATAAATATGAAAAGGATGTCTATGAATATTTCAAGAACAAACATAACCGGCACTGTACTAATGCTGAGTGCTTTGATTGCTGGCTGGTATGTCATTTTCTATGACAACATGTCCTAAAGGGTTGCATGCACTGGTGTCCTCAGACCAACCCTGCCATATACTAACATATTGTAACTATGGACAGCCACACCTACAAGTAAAGCCCAGTGGTACATCAGTGTGTGAGTATCCTCTCAGCATTAGATGGGTCATTCCACTAATTCGGTGCCTTTTGAGAAGTGTAACTTTAAAAACATTTACAAATGTTTTTAACATTCTGTCATAAAGAGCAGATGTTCAACTTAATAAAAAACATGTTTTCCCATCTCAAGAGGTTAAATAGAAAATATGTAATATAGTAAGTGCCTATTAAGTGCCAAATATATTAACAGGGTTGACTGTAACAGAGTTGACGATTTCTTCTTAAATCAGCCATAAATCCCTTTGTGACAGGGGCAATGAAAGCTTGTTGTGTGCAACAGGCAGTGGCAATTGAATGTAAGCTTCACACAAAAAAAGAAATGTGTTAAAACATTTCTACCCTGTCTATCTATGGGTCACGGGGTGACGTGTTATGCTCGACCCACTCAGTTTTCCACCACAAAACACCAGAAAATAGCCAAAAAGTGTAGAACCAGCTCACCTGCTTTTACTCTATTAGATGTTCAATGTTTGTTTAGAATTTTTTTTTTTTCAATAGTTTCACCATATTAAAACGTAACAGGGTTGACCTTAAAATGAGGGACAGACGTAAATTAATCACTAATCACATTAAATGAATAATAATCTTCAGAAATGACTTTGTCATAGCAACAAAATAACGAGGGCTTTACAATGATGGTGATAAAATCTTCCTAGAAGTGACACAGGTTTGACGGGGGGCCATGTCAAAATGCTGAATTTTGGCACTTGACTTTAGCAAGCCTTTATTCATATTAAAGGGCACTTCATTTAATATAACAGGCTTTTAAAATTCTATATTGGTGCACAATTTCTACATACAATATCAACGGCACTCTTTTCGTGGAACGACCCAGATACATACGTTTACACCAGGGAGAGCCTCCTGACCACTGGGTGCTGTTGCTGCCCCAGACACAGGATACCTCATTGCCCCCCACCAGACGGTGTCTGGATGGACACTGCAGGGTGATCACCGTCCCCACATTGGTGCCATTCCCCTGAATGATCTTCTGGGTGCCCAGCGCGGGCAGGGGCATGGGCGTGCACTGGCCTGGAGGGGGAGATGGTAACTATGGTATATACAGTCATATGTGAGCAGAACAGATAACTCAAACTAGAACAGCCACAATAGAACTTTCAGAGGAGAGCGTACCACATGGAACCCTCACAATGGAATGCTGCTGTGTCCCTTCAGCACAGAACACTACATTACAGAACACTCTGCATAGAAGCCCGTTGGGGGGCTGCTCAGTATTGCGTGACAAAAACACACACCACATCTGCAGCCCTGCGCTTTGCTGCATCTAATGTTGATGGTATCAAAGCAGGAAACATGATAAATCATTAAATAAAAGGCCTGCTAGCTTGGCTGAAACTCAGGTCCCATCTGTGGCCATGTTAAACAGCTGCTTATCAGACTCAGCACAGTGCTGCAGGAAAATGGACTCCCGCTGTGAGCTCTGGTTTACACACTGAACTATGACCCTTAACAGAATGACACTGCTCTAATGCAAATATACAGGAGTGTATTTCGGAAGGAATCAAAGTAAGCCACAGCTTGTGGATAAACAAAACAGCTCTGTCACATCCTGTGAAGTGTATTCAGTCAATTGTTTTTACACTGGCTGTGCTACTGTAACTGGTTAATATAACAAGTAACACATTCACTGGGAACACTTTCATCTCATCACCTCAAGAGTATAATGGAAATGTGATTTAGGGACATTGTCTGTGAAATCATGTAGCCTAGGCCTATTACAATTCTGTATAAATTGTTGCATTGTCTCCTTGCCACCACAAGAGGCCCTACATGTTCAAGAAACTACTTTTCTGAACTCAATGGTATCTGAAAGAGGAACCAAGTTGTTTTAATTCAGATAAAGTTTGAAATAGCGTTAGTAAATTCCAAAACTTCTGAGTCTCATGAGAGTATTCCTTTGAATGCCAGCGAGAGAGAGAGAGAGCGAGAGAGATAGAGAGAGAGAGAGAGAGAGAGAGTGAGAGAGAGAGAGAGAGAGAGAGAGAGAGAGAGAGAGAGAGAGAGAGAGAGAGAGAGAAGACAGACAGACAGACAGACAGACAGACAGACAGACAGACAGACAGACAGACAGACAGACAGACAGACAGACAGACAGAGAGAGCGAGAGAGTGACTGAGAAAGAGAGAGAGACATAGAGAGTCAGCAAGCAAGAGAGTTATGTTGCTGACTGACTATCGGGTGGTAGGCTAATTCATAAACCATCATTTCTGCAGGGCAGGTAGACAGTGCTCTCCAGCAGTCTGACTCATAGATTTCTGATCAAAGATATCCGTTCTCTGTCAGTTGGGCTGGGCTGGCAGGGTGAGTTATATTGCTAGGTCTTACAAGGCCATGATGAAACCTCACCAGCCTGAACAGATCCACAGAAAACACCATATTTATGCAACATTTCTTTAGTACACAAGGACTCCAATTTTATGTAACTTGTGTGAATGTGTGTGTGTGTGTGTGTGTGTGTGTGTGTGTGTGTGTGTGTGTGTGTGTGTGTGTGTGTGAGCGTGTGCGAGCGTGTGTGTGGGAGTGAGAATGTGTTTGTGTTTGTGTGTGTGTGTGTGTTTGTGTGTGTGTGTGTGTGTGTGTGTGAGTGTGTGCGAGCGTGTGTGTGGGAGTGAGCATGTGTGTATGTGTGTGTTTAAAAGTGTGGCTGTACATCCTAGCTCAGTACAACTGCAGTGTTAGTTGATGTGAAACTAAGAAACCATGCATTCTGAAAGCCACCTGCAGCTTCTCAGACCATGTGATCTATAGGAACACATTATCACTTTCCCTTTCCATTGTTTTGCCCTTATACAGGCTCAGAATAGACATCGGCTGGCTACTCTATTATTCCATTAAAACCATATCTTATAAGACATTAAGACCTTTTATTCCATTTATGTTTTGTTGTCATAGGATAGTTTGTAAACATATGCTGCGTAGCTTGTAGAAAGTAGGCCTAATGATGTTTTCCTGCAATGTAATTCATTGAGTACAGATACATCATATAAATGAAGTGCTATTTGTGTGTCATGAAGTGCATTTTCTCCCAAAATATTAGCCTACATGTTGGTAGGTCCATTCTGTGATGGTATACACACACAGTTTGCAGCTATATTTAACAAATCCATTAAACAAATTCACAATGCCTCCAATAAAGCTTTACTTTCAGGCACTGTACTAATGACATGACATCTATGACCACACTGGATAGATCCTGAAGCTCACTTACCTGTATAATTACGGCCACGGTTGCCGTTTTTGGTTGAATAAATAGTTCTGGAAACATCAACCACCGAAGCTGTAACCGTTGACATTTCGGACGTGTAATCTACTCAACGGTCGACAACCCCTCCAGGACGCGCGTAAAAACGACAAGGAGACGCACAAGAGGATGCTACCGTAGCCTACAGCTGGAGAATTATGGTCACTGTGCTGGATTGTGTTCGCACTTTGTCTCACTGCCTGTGCGTGCTCACGCGTTTGCTTTTTCGGTCTCTTTCTCCCAGGCACACGGACCCTCCAGCAACCTATCAATGTATGTTGGTGTATCGGCTCGGCTTGTCGCGCTGCGCTCTGGGAACACACTGACTGTCCCGAGCAAAATCCGTCCTTCTTTGTCTGAGAGATTCTGCTAAACTAATCGGTGTGTAGGCTATGTCCGAATATCACTTGATGTCACGGTAATAGGCTTGTTGTCAAGGCGCTCCGAAGGTTGGCAGCATATAATTAGGTATTAGAATAGGCCTACATTAAGTAATGTAATAGGATCGCTATGGTTGGCAGTGAGTTCCTCCTTTCAGTTCACAATGCAGTAGTAATCTGTGTGTTTGTGGGCTAGAGGTTGATTTTCTCACATTGCCCCGCCTTTGATGATCTGTTTGTGCACACATTAGACTTTATGACAATGGTACTATATACTGTCGTTTATAGCACTAAGCATATAACCAGTCATTTGAAGCTATTTGGAAGTAGTCACATTTTGTATTTCTTATAAGATGCAATTTATAAGCCTCAGATATCTGGACTGTGCTTAGGGTGTACCTACAGTATTACTGTTGCATGATGTAATGCATCAAAGGATATCATGGAGACTTTGATAGTGTCCACCACTGCACACTTCAATCTGACATCACATGATAGGGTCTGGCTGGCTTACATCCTGTACTCACATTACTTACTCTAAAGGCATAAATCCACTGTACTGTTGTAAGCTACATAGATTTTTAACAGATGCTTTCCAAAGCAATTTGCACAGATTATACTTTGTCGGGCTGGACATTTACTGAGGGGACCGATTGCGTGACTCGGTCTAGAGCACGACAGCTGTATGGCGGGGATTTGAACCCGTAACCTTTGGCCATCATCACTTAAACAGCTAAACCATTAGTCCCGGCATAGAGATTCCTTGGCAGATTCTGAAAGTATTAAGTCCTGGAGTTTGCCCTTCTGATTTATGGAATACAAATATAGCCTATTAATTCTTTAATGTAATATGATTTACATGAGGCTCGCCACTCTGTTCTCTGTGCCAGAACAGGAATCTTTTTAATCTTTATAAACAGTGGTCATTCATGTGCATGGCTGTTAATGTTAAAAGCCGGACAAGACCAGAGATAAGGGGGGGGGGGGGGGGGGGGGGGGGGAGAGAGAGAAAAGGAGAGAGAGAGAGAGAGAGAGAGAAAGAGGAGGAGGGGGGGTTCAGAATCAAACTATTCAGAGCCCATAATCAATGCCAGTGAAATCTATCAGCAGGACAAGTGTTTGTTTACCCATCATACCGTTCACCACCAGCTGTCCAAGAACAAGAACAATCAGCCAAACAGGAAATCATGTCCTCATTGATGCGTGCTGTGCAGGGGTGCATTTGAAAACATGACGTGGGAGTTGTTTTCAATCACTATCTTCACATCCTGGGTCTATAGAGCAGTCCTCTACCAACCAGTTAACATAATCAGTCTTTTCTCCTGAAGAAAGAGTAAACCACGTCACTGTCCAAGGCGTCCATCTCATTCTCTACTGCAGGGGTACTCAACTCTTACCCTACGAGGTCCGAAGACTGCTGGTTTTCTGTTCTACCTGATAATTCATTGCACCCACCTGGTGTCGCAGGTCTAAACTAGTCCCTGATTAGAGGGGAACAATGAAAAAAACGCAGTGGAACTGGCTTCAAGGTCCAGAGTTGAGTTTGAAGGCCCTATAGTGTGTTTTTCCTGCTCCTCCTTTTGTGCCCTTGCAGATCGTTTTGATGTGTCATAGTTCAATTAGCTTATGGTAAACCATTTAATTGGTATGAATCACTTAGCTCTATTATACTGCTCATCGGGTAGCCTTATTAAAGGAATAGCCTTTATGCCAGCCAAGAGCGATACCCTGCTCGTAGCGGAGAGACCTACACACCAACTCTACTCTACTCTCTCCACACAAAGCAAAACGGCCTTCAGTACAAAATTAGATGCCAGGGTCATCAACGAAGGCAAAGTAACCATGTTAATTAATGCTGCATTAATTCTGAAAAAGAACAAAGTTATACTAGGTCAAAAATATTCCAAACGGTCCTATGGAATGGACAGATTCTGGCAGATCTTTTTTTTTGGAATCAGACAAAGCAACATGCAGCTCAAATAAAGTATTCGTACAAGGACATACCAGGGTTGGGCTCAATTCATAATTTTTGAATTGACTCCCATTCAACTCATGACTTGAAATTCAAATTGAATTGGCCACACCCCACAGGATGTAGAATTTGAGTTTGAGTGACAGAAAGTATAATTTAATTCAGTGCAATTCAAATAAATTCCACTCAGTCATAGAACATGAGAGTCTCATTGAATCTGACAGGTCACACTTGCAGATACCAAAGAATATATCACTTTTCTCGGGAAACAATGTTCATAGACTCTTTTAACCTTAGTGCTAAGAATAGCCAATTATATTTCCAGCAACCGTTTCATTTATTTGGCTTCTTTTTGAAACCCTCACGGTCAACTTGCATTCTCGGAAATGTAATATATTCCCTATATTGAACAACATTTAAGTGATTAATGAAATATAATAACTTAGAATATTCGCATACAGGTTTGTCCTGAAAATCAATTGTTTCAACAATATTTTATATGCATGTATATAACAACATGTTAGATTTTTTATGTACAATATGTATATTTGTATAGACTACACCTAATATAGAATAGAAGAAAATAAAAATGTATTTGTCACATGCGCCAAATACAACAGGTGTAGACCTTACCGTGAAATGCTTACTTACAAGCCAACAATGCAGTTTTAAGAAAATAGAGTTAAGAAAATATTTACTAAATAAACTATAGTAAAAAATGAAAAATATACTGTATATATATATTTTAAGTAACACAATAAAATAACAATAATGAGGTTATATAAAGGGGGAACCGGTACCGAGTCAATGAATTGAATTGGAATTTATGAGGCATTCTCAATTCAATTCTGAATTGAGCCCAACCCTGGGACATACATACATGGATTTGCACAGACAGACCCAGAACGTCATACATAAGCCTTTTATAAACTTCTCAGTGTTTAGTATGCATCCAATGTTCCCTATTGACTCCTGGTCATTTGGAATGCAAAGTAGGTATGGGGCGGCTCATCTCTGCTTGATAAGTGAGTCTTCAGACTTGCACAGCCCCATTCACCCGAGGTACACGAAACAGATAGCCACCACCTCAGACACACACACACGCACGAATGCACACACATACTGTATACACACACACACTCTTTATACGATTTGTTTAAATAACAACTCAAGAATTGCAGAGCCACATGACTTTGGACTGAATCATATCTTCCTTCTGCTAAATCCTTCTCCCTCCTGTCTCCTGATTCTGCCTCTTCAACCCTACTCTCCTCCCTTTCCGCCTTATTTGACTCTCACTGTCCCCTTTCCACCCGGCCGGCTCGACCCTCCCATCCTGGCTGAGTGACTCAATGCATGCTCACAGAACAGGGCTGTGGGTGGCTGAGAAACAATTTAAAACTAAACTTCCGGAGGACCTATCATCCTTCCACTCCCTCCTCTCTACCTTCTCTTCTTCTGTATCTGCTGCTAAAGCCGCTTTCTATCACTCTAAAATTCCAAGCCTCTGCCTCCAACCCTGGGAAACTATTTTCCACCTTTTCCTCCCTCCTTAATCCTCCACCTCCTCCCCCTCCCTCCTCCCTCTCTGCAGACGACTTTGTCAACCACTTTGAAAAAAAGGTAGATGACATCCACTCCTCATTCACGCAGTCCACTGGTCCCACTCACACAGAACTACCCTACCTACGCCTTGACCTCTTTCTCCCCTCTCTCTCCAGATTAAATCCTGTGACTCATCAACTCATCCCTGACCACTAGCTGCAACCTCTCTGACTTCAAGATGGCCAGAGTCGCCCCTTCTTAAGAAACCAACACTCGACCCCTCTGCTGTAAAAAACTACAGACTGGTATATCTTCTTTCTTTTCTTTCCAAAACACTTGAGCGTGCTGTCTCTGACCAACTCTCTCGTTAGCTCTCACAGAATGATCTTCCTGACCCTAACCAGTCAGGCTTCAAGACGGGTCACTTAACTAAGACTGATCTCCTCTGTGTCATGGAGGCTCTCTGCTCTGCCAAAGTTGACTCTCTCTCCTCCTTTCTCATCCTCCTATATCTATCTGCTGCCTTCGACACCACAAACCATTAGATCCTCCTCTCCACCCTCTCAGGGCTGGGCGTCTCAGGCTCTGCACACTCCTGGATTGCATCCTACCTGGCAGGTCGCTCCTACCAGGCGGCGTGGAGAGTATCTGTGTCTGCACCACGTGCTCTCACTACTGGTGTCCCCCAGGGCTCGGTTCTAGGCCCTCTCCTCTTTTCTCTTTACACCAAGTCAATCGGCTCCGTCATATCCTCTCATGGTCTCTCCTATCATTGCTATGCGGATTAACCTCAACTACTTTTCTCATTCCCCCCTTTTGACACCGAGGTGGTGACACGCATCTCTGCATGCCTGGCAGATATCTCAGCTTGGATGTCGTCCCACACCTCAAGCTCAACCTCGACAAGACGGAGCTGCTCTTCCTCCAAGGGAAGGCCTGCCCGCTCCAAGACCTCTCCATTATGGTCGACAACTCCACGGTTTCCCCCTCCAAGAATGCAAAGAACTTTGGCGTGACCCTGGACAACACCCTGTCGTCCTCTGCAAACATCAAAGCAGTGACTCACTCCTGCAGGTTCATGCTCTACAACATCCGTAGAGTACGACTTTTCCTCAAACAGGAAGTGGCGCAGGTCCTAATTCAGGCATTCATCAT